GATACCTTGTCTGCCCCCGGAAGTTCAGGGGTTTTAGGCATTTAATTACGGTCAGATGAGCATTATTTTGATACCTAATTGTGACATTTGCAGGTCATTAATTGGCGTGGGGTTCAGGGGGCGGAGCCCCGGAAACTCAAGGGTTTTAGGCACTCAATTACGGTCAGATGAGTATCAAGGGGCCCGCCTTGAGGCTTTTCGTTGGGGTCAGGGGGCCGAGCCCCCGGAAGCTCAGGGGTTTTAGGCGTTTAATTACTGTCAGATGAGCATCTAAGGGCCCTAGGTGGAATCCAGGGGGCTGAGCCGTCGTGGTTTTAGGCATTTAATTTAATCATGGTCAGATGAGCATATTTTGATACATCATTTTAATGGGTCACTGGCAGTTAACTATTTTTCTTTCTTGCTCTCTTTCTTTCTATTTCTCTTTAATATACTTTTTCAAAAAAAGTGGGGGGGGGGGAGGCCCGAGGATCCCGATCCCCGCCGTTCCGCGGGCTCTGACATGTAGGCATCTCAAGAAGCATTTTCTTGCCTGGCTATAAATTTAGGAATTTGTCATTTTCCAACAAACGCATACAAAAGTACAATTTACTTAAAAGTGATGAAAAATCTCGGAAAATTATGTCATTTCAGCATTATTTGTAAACCACCGTTATGGAATTAGAAATAAACCACGTTTGAATATTATTTCCCCAAAGCCCCCCCCCCTCCCCTATCAGTACGCCAGTTCCCCCCCCCCCCCCCGATTTACACCTTGTTGACGAGAAAATTACAACTGATATCCCTTACCTTTCTTCATTCTCTTTTTGCTCTTTCCCTTTCTCTCCTCTTTCCCTTTCCCTTCCCTTCTCTCTCTTTTAAGTTTGCCTGGGGGGGGGGGGGGGCAAGGTCATTTTGGCCCCACTCCGCCTCACACATTGTTGACTGATCTCCCCTTCTTTTCTCCCTTTTCTTTTCTTCTTCCTCTTTTTTGTTCCCTTTTAGCTCTCCTCTTTTCCTTTTCCTTCCTTCTCTTTTTTTTTTAACGCGGGGACGGGGGGGGGGGGGGGAGGCAAGGGCCTTTTGCCTCCACCATCCCCCCCCCCCCGATCGGGAAAATTGCAACTGATATCCCCCTTCTTTTCTTTTCTTCTTCCTCTTTTTTCCTTCCCTTTATCTCATTTTTTCCTTTTTTTTCTTTCCCTTTCCTTCCTTCTCTTTTATTTTTTGATTGGGAGAGGGGGCAGCAGCCTGGGAGGCAATTCCTTTTGCCCCCCCCCCCGATCTCCTTCTTCCCTCTTTTCTTTTCTTCTTCCTCTTTTTCCCCCTTTTTCTCCTCTTTCCCTTTCCCTTCTTTTCCTTTTCTTTCTCTCCTTTTTTTCGGGGGGGGGGGGGGGCAAGGCCCGCTCGCCCCCCCCCCTGGATCCGCGCCTCTCTTCATGTACTAAATGTACATTTGTCTATTATGTAAAAATCAGACTAATTAAACGAGCGTGCTCGCTAAATTCATTTCGACAACTAATGATCATTATTTTCTCACAAAAAGACATTTTCAAACCTTTTGGTTTTGAGGGAAGTTCTAAATTATTATTATCATTCAAATTACGTTGGAATTTAACCTCGTCATTATTTTTGGCCTGCACATAGGACATAATACCGTTTTAACTTCAATAAACTGTATTGTAATTGGATGGTGAAAAATTAATATTCCAGTTTATCCATAGACAATGTACATGACGGTAGGGTGGTGAAAAGTTAGCGTAGGGTGGTGAAAAATTAATATTCCAGTTTATCCATAGATAATGTACATGCATGGCCGTAGGGTGGTGAAAAGTTAGCGTAGGGTGGTGAAGAGTTATATATTCCAGCTTATCCATAGACACTGTACATGGCGCTAGGGTGGTGAAAAGTTAGCGTAGGGTGGTGAAAAATTAATATTCCAGTTTATCCATAGACAATGTACATAACGGAAGGGTGGTGAAAAGTTAGCGTAGGGTGGTGAAGAGTTAATAATCCATAGACAATATACATGACGGTAGGGTGGTGAAAAGTTAGCGTAGGGTGGTGAAGAGTTAATATTCCAGCTTATCCATAGACAATGTACATGACGGTAGGGTGGTGAAAAGTTAGCGTAGGGTAGTGAAGAGTTAATATTCCAGCTTATCACATGACGGTAGGGTGGTGAAAAGTTAGCGTAGGGTGGTGAAAAATTAATATTCCAGTTTATCCATAGACAATGTACATGGCCGTAGGGTGGTGAAAAGTTAGCGTAGGGTGGTGAAGAGTTAATATTCCAGCTTATCCATAGACAATGTACATAACGGTAGGGTGGTGAAAAGTTAGCGTAGGGTGGTGAAGAGTTAATATTACCATTTATCCATAGGCAATGCATATGACGGTAGGGTGGTGAAAAATTAAATATTCCAGTTTATCCATAGACACTGTACATGGCGCTAGGGTGTTGAAAAGTTAGCGTAGGGTGGTGAAGAGTTAATATTACCATTTATCCATAGACAATGTACATAACGGAAGGGTGGTGAAAAGTTAGCGTAGGGTGGTGAAGAGTTAATATTCCAGCTTATCCATAGACAATGCATATGACGGTAGGGTGGTGAAAAGTTAGCGTAGGGTGGTGAAGAGTTATTATTCCAGCTTATCCATAGATTATGTACATGACGCTAGGGTGGTGAAAAGTTAGCGTAGGGTGGTGAAGAGTTAATATTCCACTTTATCCATAATTGACAATATACATGACGCTAGGGTGGTGAAAAGTTGAGATCGTGAAAAATTATATCCATAGAAAATATGTACATGACGGTGACATAATGGTGAATAGTTTATGTGATTTTGTATTAAAGAGTCAATGCCCCCTTTCGCAGAGAAAAAGCATATATAATTATGCATGACATTATGGTGCGGGGATATATTGCAATTCGTAAGAAGATAATAACGTTTTAATTTCTAACATAAATGAGGTGAGGTCGTAGTATTCTTTGATTTGCCCTTAAGTACTGCGCTTTACCCCCCCCCCCCCTTCCATCATCTACTCTCATTATATCCGACCACCATGCCTATTTTAATTGGTAGCCAGCCATCGTTACACTGATCATGCCTGATGGATACAATACACAAAGAATAAATTGCGTGTGTGTAGTATAGCGGTTGTACGTGTACAATGCGATCCTTACACTTATCAAATTGGCAATTTTTACACATTGGATGGGCTACCTTCATCTCCGATTAGGTGTGTGAAGAAAAGCTTCACCCGCATAACGTATGCACATGTAGAGAACAGTCGAAATAAGCGGTTATTTGACCAGCATCAACATTATACGTTGCCAATCTAATGATCATGACTTATGAGAGAGATGCCAGAGACGTCTTTTCCACGGTCCCAGCAATGGCGGACTGAGGGATACTGGGGCCCCTCATAAGAAAGAGACAGAAAGAGAGGATGTAATTATATTTATCAAGTCTATGCGCTTTATAAAGATATGTAGTCTAGTCCAAGAATAATAACAGAAACAAAAAAAATCGTTTAAAAAAAGTGTTTATGGGAGGAGGTCCAGGGGGAGGGGGGCCGTGGCCAAATATAGATTTTTTTTTTAAGGTGGTAAAGTTGATTTTACCTTTAAAATTAAAAAAAAGAAGACGCCCCCCCCCCCCCCCCCCCCTATAAGCCATACAAATTCGAAGACACCACTTTTTGCCCAGAATGGCAAGGGGTTGTTCAGTATTTCGGCGGGAAATTGAAAATATTTGAATAGGCTAGTTTCCTCACAATGAATGTCCTTCAATGCCATTACATGACCCCGTTTCACTTCTGAAGGGGTATAGGGACAAGATCGTAACAATTCGAAAAACGCCACTTTTGGGGCAAAATGGGAGAGTGATTTAATAGTTCAGCCTTTTTGGGGGTGAAAATATTCGAAAACATCCTAATTTCCTCACAGTGAATGTCCCTACACTCCTACAGCCCTGACCCTCGTTTCTGATCTGATGGGGCATAGGGACATATATCGTAACAATTAAAAAAACGCCACTTTTTGGCCAATGAATGAAAATATTTGAATATCTTAATTTCCTCACAATGAATGTCCCTATACATGCCATGATATGGATTCTGACCCCGTCCCTAATTCTGATGGGCGCATAGGGACAAATATTGTAACAATTAAAAAAACGCCACTTTGGGCCCAAAATGGCGGGGGTTAGTTCAGCGTTATGGCGGAAAAAATGAAATTATTCGAATAGGCTAGAATTTCCTCAATATGAATGTCCCTACATGCCATGCAGAGGCGGATCCAGGGGGGGGGTGTAAACTAAGAATAGGTTTTTTTTAAAGATGGTATAACGCTAATTTTACCTTTAACCAAGACATATTCAGTTGGATATATTTTTCATTATAGTTTCGATAATTTATGTTTGATTTCAATTAACAGTAGTTATCCTATGACTTTTCAAACATTCCTTTATATTGTTCATGGCCTTATAATATCTTCAACGCTACTCCACCGTTAGGCCTTTATATACTCTCCTCGATCTATATAGCTCTCAGTGTGACCTCCCCATCACCCGTAGTATCTGAATGCTTTTGGTTTGTATAACACGTATATAATTTGTAACAGACAAGAAGGGAACATATTTGAATTAGATTCAATTGAATGATCTTTCTAAAAATTGACAGTCTGTAAGACGGCTATATGAGATATTTCCAGATAAACGAAAATACGATTGATTTTTGTTAATTTCCTAATCTGATATAAATCAGTTCTTATGAAATGCAAATAGCAAATTTATCTAATTAAAGTACAAACATTATTTGAAAATATTATTTTTCAGTAAATTTAAAGGAAATTTAAAGGAAATTTAGTATAGTATTAAATGTTTTAGTTTGATTTAAGCGTGTTTAATTCAATCATTTCTTATAATTATCAAATTGGAAACACTCCACTTTGCGCTGTTTACCTACTAATGCTAATTTCAAAAGTATATGTGTGTGTTATATGAATGGGATTTATTCCAGCGCTATCGAAAGACTTGACAACTCGAAATTCAAAACATAAACAGTGAGAGCTAACTCCGCAGGGAAAATCTATCTAGGATTGCATGAATTCAATTTCTTGTTAAAGGTATGTCATCCCCATGATCATATTTGTGTGAGATGTTTAGTTGTACAGATTTATGATACTCAGAAAATAGAAAACGAGCTTCACCTTCGACTCTCTCGAGCTCACTGCACCTCGACATCGACACCCTGCCTGGCACGGATTTGGGACGGAACTGTCGGCGGGAGTGCATGGTAGCGACTGGTATCAGTATGGCTATTTCCTCAGCGGGCGCGGGTAACTGCATGATGATTCGCCATGCACTGGCATATGGCATGGACTATATGCCACGCCCCATCCCCCCTTTTTGGGGTTGCACGTTATGTTGGTATTTTTTCGTAATAAGAACGAACACTTTCACACATATTTTGGGCTTGTCTTGACAGTATACTCTACAGTAGATCTAGTCTAGACCTAGAGTCTATGTATAATGTAGTGATCTGAGCGGATATTAAATAGCTCTGACGAGGTCTACTGATACTAATTAAGGGGGATAAATTTCTGATAATATAATGGATTAATCTAGGCTATACCATAAAACTGGAGATTCGATGCTCGAAGCTGTACGATGCGTTCGCCCTCGGCCGCGAGAGCCTTAGCCTAGGACTTCAGGTGCTTGGGCCGAATCACTACGTCATTATCTCGATTCGATTAAATTAAATTTTCAGGTTGTTTGATTATGTACTGCAACATGGTAAGCCCTAATTACTCCAGGGAGCTCCGACATCGACGTCAAAGGCGTCGGAGCTCCCTGGAGTTAGGTAAGCCCCTGAAACTCACATGCAAGTTTGAGAATGAGTTATGCAGCACATGCATAATCACATCATACGAGTGCGGGCAGGGAGGTGAGGCTATCCTATTTGGAAGGATCAAAATGTAAAAGTCAGATGAAGTAGATACTTCTTCTTCTTCTTGGCTTGCAGTTGGTGCAGGTGTTGGTAGTACACATATAAAAAGGATAGGCAGGTTTACAGTGGCATCACATACATCATATGTAGTGGAATTTTTAACGTGGAGGTCAAGTATGAAACTGAGAGAGAGATTGTGAAAGAGTAAGGGGTTGATCCAGTCATTCTGAGCCTGAGCCTGCTAGAGGAAGAATTAGACAAGGAGAAAATCATGAAAATGATAAAATGTTTAGAGTGGGAGAATGAAAAAAAAATAGCAAGATGTAAAGGAAAAACACAACTAAGATGGAAAACAATTGATTATAGAAGTGGAACTGGGAATTCATAGAAAGTAAGATGTTTTAAACAGAATAAGGAATTGGAGTAAGAAAGAGTTATGACAATTATAGAATAGAGGAAAAGGGAAAATCAGTTGAATGGATATTTAAAGTAGAGAGATGAAAGAAAAAGAGAAAGTGGAAAATAATAGGAAAATGTACAGAATACATGTATGTGATCAAGATGAATGATAACAAAAGTAATAAAGAATTCAAGTGTAAGTAAGAAAAGGAAAAAAAGCAAGATGGAAATGAATGAAACTTGAGAAGAGGAATAATGGAAAAAAAACATTAGCTGGAGAAAATGAGGAAGAATGAGTAGTAAGCTACAGAAAGTATTAAAAAATGCAGGAGAAAGAATTACAAAGAAATACACAAAAGAAGAGAGAGAAGAAGAAATTCAATGGATAGAAAAACATTGAGAATGTGCTTGCTGTTGATGTCGAAAGCACTGTGACTTTTGCTAGAGCAGCAACAATTCGTCCTTGTTTTCACGTAGTGACGGTAGTTAGTAAAATCGTCGACAAAGTGAATGCAATTTTTTTTCACTACCGTCACTTCGTGAAAACAGAGACGAATTGGTCCTGTCACCAGGATGTTCCAGAATATCCAAATATAAAACCAAGTTGCTGGGGCTATTTCCCTTTGGTGTGACCATTCATCCCGGTTCCTGCATACCATAGCTCTTATCAAGTGTTAACACAAATAAAACCGTAACTGGAGTAAAAGTAATTTCAAAGGTATTTCATGAAATTGTTGTAACACATGTCATCCTACTCCGCTGCATTGTCGACCAACTTCTTGTCATCCTATTCTAATTTTCTTTCAGTATTTCATGGAGGATCATTAAAGATGGAACTGAATTCTTCAATGCAAGTTCTCGTCATTCAAACTGGAGGTAGGAACTAGGCATCACATACAGTTAAACATGACCTTTTTTTGTACACTTTTTTTTTGGTGACATTGTTAATCTAGTAATTAAATTCATTTAATTAATTTGATATAATTTTTTAAGTATTCTTTAAGGCATTACAGAATTATTTTTTAGGCCCTGATGAGATCTTGCTTTTAACAAACTTATGAAATTTTCACTCTTTTGAAAATTTCTCTCCAATCTTTACAAATGATTTCTATGATTTTTTTTGTTATCCTCATAGGTTTCATCTAATGTATAATATTGTGTCTCTTTCAATTGATACCCCCAGGAACGATTGACAAGGATTATCCAAAGAGAAAAGGTGGTTATGCATTTGAGATTGGCAAGAGTGCAGCCAGGGGCATCATAGAACAGCACAATGTTCCTCTGAGATTCAGATATGAGACTGTTTGTCAGAAAGACAGCCAGGACATCACTGACGAGGACAGGTAAGAAATCAGAGAAATCAAATGTTCCTGATATGGATACCACTGGAGTTTATCTTGTAGAATCCTTTGACCGGGGTAATAATATATACTCGGCCTAGAAACAAATTTAGGCACGTTATAATAAATGTGATCTATCATTATTATTATTATTATCTATTTACAAAGAGTGACAGTCAGCAGTGGAGGTCACTTTTGATTGGTCAGTTATTTCATGGAGCTATGAATAGTTCCCTCCCTTAGCTTTAGAGATTGGACGTGAGAGGGAACTATTTGGAGCTCCATGATTTAACCTATGACCGCGTTGGGTATGTGTATATGCTTTTCCTACAACTATCTCTTTCAATGTGCTATGGATACAACAGTTGATAGTTTTACAAACTTAATTTCTGCTGTCCATAGGTAGTGAAATCTGAAAACCCAAAGCTTCATGACATTGATTCAATACATGTACTTCAGTAACTTTGCAGTATATAAACAAAGTGTGGAAGTAGTATTTGGGGTCATTCACTGTAAACATTTCTGCCGTGTATACATGTAGGTAGAGTAACAGCATCAGTTTGCGTACAAATTTGTTTGCTCAATTTGAGACTGTGCACACAAAAAAATACATTGTGCATTTGAATTTAAAAAAAATATTGACTGTTACTGTTACTTGTACAACAATTTCACTTTTACCATACAAAAATGAAATAATAATTGAAATATGATGGATATATATATATGTATAGTAAAATATATGTAATTGTAAAGTGTTTGGAGATCTTAAAGTTCTAGCTGTCATACTTTTTATTTTTTATTTCTTTCATTTTCTCTCTGAAGGTTGAAGCTTCTGACGGTGTGTAATGACTGCAGCGAGAAGCTCATCCTAATCACCCACGGAACGGACAACCTCCTGACCACGGCAGCATTCCTAGGCCACCAGAACCTACCAAAGAGGATCATCCTCACCGGTGCTTTTCTCCCGGAGAAATTCAAAGACTCTGATGCTGCTTTCAATGTGGGCGTGGCCTTGGGTGCCCTCCAGTGCCTGTCTTCCAATGGTATCTACGTTGCAATGAATGGCTTGGTGTTGCCATGGAGACAAGCGATGCGGGATCCGGATACTGGGCAGTATGTGCCCAAGTAGTGAATGCTGTTACCTCTGGACTGGGGTGAATAGCCTTCCTGTTAGTTAAGGTTCGTTCACATACGACGTGATGAATCATAGCGCTTATTACGATGACATATTGTGTAATGTGCTCAACACGTCTGTATCTCATAACACACAGATACATGTAAGTGAGTATGCTTTGCTGCACACAGGTACTTGTTTCATTCCCACCTGCCATGCACTTACACTTACAAGAATGGTGTGGTTTCCTCTGTCATTTGTGAACGAGCCTTTATGCAGTCAGATTCAGTGCAATAAAGTGATGTGAGCGGAAAGCCTTAAGAGAGCATCAACCGGAATTTCTGACTCAAGCATCAAATATTGTTATCTTCTAGAGATGCAAGTTTCTTGAAGAACATCTATCCTTAACATAATAGTTATCTGATAATCAAGAATCGGTACAATTAGTAAAAGACAGATGGATCTAACTTTTTGTTGCATTTGTAGTTAAAGTCAAAGATTAGATTAGGCTGTATGAAATTGTAGTAATCAACTCAGGGATGAAATCAAAATAAATGTGTCAATCATAAATCATGATCTATATTAAAAGTAAAGTTGGTTGTGTTCAATTTTGTATGAGTGTGTGAAAAGTTAAGGAACCACTGGCTAATCTCTTATAAATACAAGCATGCTAGGAAGACATTATGTCAAAGATGTATACAGGCACTGCCAATGTTGGGAGATAACATTTAGAGTCAAACGTTGTTTCCCAGGAAAAGTGCATACTGCATAATGGAACTAATTATGAAGTAATTGAAGGAGGTTACTAAACTTATTGCACATGCATTTTCTTTGTTCACAGTATCCTTCAAAGTTTTAATTCTCTCATTGAACAATATGTCAACCTTAGTGAAATGATTATAATTGCTTGGATAATCTTGAATATGTAGATACTTGTACATTTCCTTTTGATTTAAATCTGGATCATTCCCTATTTATATACATGTATATTTTCTTTTGTAGATTTATCACTTTATGAACAAATTAAAGGGGAAGTCCACCCTGAAATTAAGTTAGTTTTAATAGGAGTAGAAAAATGAGAGAAACAAGTCAGTGAAAGTTTGAGCAAATTCCGATTAAAAATAAGGAAGTTAGGATTTTTGAAGTTGTGATCAATCAAACACAAATTGGCAACTCTATGACGTATCATGCGAGCTCAACTTTCATTTGCTCAGTACTAAAAAAATCTAAAATTTTCATTTTCCCTCAAGAAAAATTTCAACCATACATGCACCCTAAATATAATAATTGCAAATATGTTTCTATACTCCCCCTGCAAGGAACAAATATATATTCCGTCATCAATAACGAAGAAAACATGATTTTATGGAATATTATGCACAAAGCAAATGAAGGAGAGCTCGTATAATAAGTCACGGAGTTGCCAATTTGTATTTGATTGATCACAACTTCAATAATTCATAACTTTCTTATTTTCATTCAGAATTTGCTCAAACTTTCACTCACCTGATTTTCTTATTATTCTGCCTCTATCGAAACAAACTTATTTTGGGGGTGGACTTTCCCTTTAATCATTTCTTTTTTGTAAAACTAAATTATAGTTGAAGATTTCAGATTTGTTGCTTTGGGTTTTGGTACAGTGTTCTGTGCTAAAGGTCTTCTTTTTTTTTTAAATATGTTGTTTCTTTACCTCATAGCAGTTCAGTGTCTCCTTTCTCTTAGAGCTATTTTTTTATTTAGATTTCGATTTTGAATGCTAGAAATTCTAGGTATTATACATGAGCAGGAAGAGCAACATTCACAGAAATGTTTTAGTCAGAAGTTCAGAGATTTCTAAGGTAGTTCGCTGTGTCATTCATTAGTAAGTTCAATTCAATTGTACATTGTAATTGCAGTCTAGGTAGTTGTAGGATATATCATCTGTTACAAGCCAGAGGGGTGATAGTTCATATCAATTTACACAGGGTTATTGCTCTTCTGGCTCCAAACAGATGATATCATACATACATGTATACATAATAATGAGTATTGGTTATCTCAGGATGATGTACTTGTCAGCTGCACAAATATGAAAGTGATATATGCAAGAAGTCTTCCTTATATACAGTAATTCCATTAAATACATTTTGAACTTTGGAAAAGATTCTGTTTTGGGCAATTCCACAGTAACGGAAGGACACTCAGACAAGATTTTTGAACTTCAGGTTCATACTAAAAGAAATGTTTTATTAGTATGTATTAAACTATGGGGAACAAAATGTGTTTCAGTCAAGTGGAAAGCTTCATCAACTTCACAAAGTTTGGATAAACACTAATTAACTGGAAAAACCATGTCCATTTTTATGTCCTTCCGTTACCGAGATAATTAATATGCACATTCTTAAACTAGTTAACTATAATGACAATTTTTTTTGGGAGAATTAAAGGCACTTATATAGGTATTATATCTGTACTGTTTCACATCTTATACTAATAAAACAGTTCTTTTAGTATGAACCTGAAGTTCAAAAATCTTGTCTGAGTGTCCTTCCGTTACCGTGGAATTGCCCTTTTTCTTCCAAAGGCACTGGATTTAATCTCTGTATTTTCATGTACAGTATGTGCCTGCATGAGTTTGTATATAGATATATACTAAAGTATAATATCATAGTAACGGTGTTGTAGTTAAGTAAACAATTGACTGTATATGAAAAGGCTGTGGGTTTTGTTCCTTAGCAAGGCACTCCTGTCTTTAAAGTGTCTCTGTAACATTGCTTTAAATTGTGAAAAAAAAGGCCTGGATTTAGCTCATGCTGCAATCATAATTATAAACCTTTGGGTCTGTCAGGAATCCCATGACTTCTACAAACATTTCATTTTTCGTTTTGTACACATACTTGTAATGTTTGTGGGTGAGTCTGAATCTTATGATGGGTAATGCTGAAAAAGGTTAGTAATATGTAATGCTCTTAGAGATATCAGAGAAATACTAGTAGTAGGTACAATATAAATCCAGAGTAATGATATTAATAATGGTTCATTTTGTATGAATTTTGTATGTAGAGGTGTTGTGGTCGAGTGGATACGTCACCGGATCTACATTTGCCACACTCCACCCAGGTGAAGTAAATGGGTACCTGGTAGGAATTTATTCCTTGAAATGCTAGAGTGCCGTATGGCAGCCGTGCAAAAGCCAGGGTAATAATCAGGAGCACCAGGAGTGTCAAGTCTGACTGACATGAGCGCTTTACAAGAACCCACTATTATTATTATTATTATTATGATATGATAATCAATTATTGATTAAATTTTAGGGGAAATTGCTAACTGATTGTTAACTCTCTGCAAATTATGAGTTAACACCCTTCTGGCTCCAAACAGATGATACATTCTAAAAAGTACATATACATGTAGTTTACCTGACTTTTAAATCTTTTTATTGGTACTACCGTCAAATATTTATTGCGAAGTGATGCTCAAGGTTCACAGTTTATTTTCACTTCTCTTAAGCAGTACAAATAACATGTTTGATGATGTAAGGCAAGAAATTAAGTTATTGCACTTTTAAATATACAGTTTGCAACATAATTAATCCTACCCCTTGTAAATTGGACGTTTGTTGTATTTTTCGTAACTCAAGAATGATAGGTGGACTGATTGAATTAGGGCCTTTGTTGAATACCTTTAGCTGTAAGCTTTAATTGCCACATTCTCAAGAAACATCAATCAGAGCAAATCAACTTTTAAAAATTGCAAAATTGGTAAGGGTATGAATAACTTTGTTGTTATCCAGTAATAAGCCAACCAGGACAAATTTACCAATTCTGTGAGACCAAACTGATTCCACACCATTTCCAAATTGAAATTTTTTTCCCGCCATTTGGGGTAATGTAAAAAAATGTACTTCTTTTGGTCTGTTGCCGTTCTGGTGTCATTCTGGCTGTTGTGACCTAGTTGTAAACTTTGCCTATGAAAAGTTAATTCATTCATTTAATGCCTTTGTGAAGTATGTCTGAGCAGAAGTGTAATACATGACAATTATTTGCATATGAATATCACAGTCTTATATCTCTTAAAAGTATTTTACAATTAATCTGAACGGAGAAATCCCCGTTCAACTGCAACTCAATACGCAATGCAGTGCAGTGCCAAGTTTCCGAAAGGGCGGATAGTGCAACAAAAACACTGAATAAGATGTGATACATTGCAGCAAGTATATAGTTTTTTTTTAAAGTAAGTAACCATACCTCTCTGGCCATTAGATGTTTGAAGTTGTACATAGATATAAAAGGGCAATCCAACCCTTTATTGGAAACGCCCCAATTTCAAAAAATGAAATGGAAGCTCTCATTACCAATCATGTGAAAGAATATGTTTTGACTAATATCCAACCCTTTATTGGAAACGCCCCAATTTCAAAAAATGAAATGGAAGCTCTCATTACCAATCATGTGAAAGAATATGTTTTGACTAATACATGATAATAAAAAATTTGCCGGGAAACCGCCTACTAATTCATATATTTGGTAAATTTGTTTCTCTCATGGTCTTTGAGAGATATAGGGTAGTCCCATATACATCTTTCTGTGCATAGTGCTTGTAACTTTACGAAGAATGGGCCAAATTTCTTATCATTTTGATGATTCCAGAACCTTGCAGATGCTAAATGCTAGATGATCAACCTTTTATGATCGATTCCACAACGTTTCTTTCACAATGCAATCGCATGACCATAACTGGTCTTTACCTTTAAGAAATTATGAAATATGCAATCACTACAGCTAGGCGAATCTTGAATTGTTTTTTTGTCAGTGGATAGTGATGTAGTGATAGATAAGTCTACTGTTTGCTGTGTATCACAAATATCATTTTTTTCCCAAGTGCCTTCACCCTTGGGGCACTACTCAAAATATTTTAAGGAGAGTATATCATTACAGGTCCTCTAAAAAGAAAAGACCATCCCGAGTCATACATTGTTGAAGTTTTACAATTTTTAGTCATATTGTGTGTTGGCAACAAATGGTTGTCCACCACAAACATCACAGAGGCATTGGCGATTTTTATTCAGCCAATTTGAAGAGGCCATACCCATAATAGTGGTTGCAACTTTCAAAAATGCATAACTTTCTCATTTTTGTCCAATTTCATTCACTATTTTCACCTGTATGTTTCTCTGGTTTTTCTTCTAGAGTAGTTTGCTATTAAGGTTTGATTTCCCTTTAAATTGGCAATACTGTTTTGTGATTTGTTTTTATATCATGATGGGAATGTTGTACAGATTGCATTTCATTAACCGTATAGGACTTTTGTTTTTAATTGTTTTTTTCTTCTTCATCATGTTCATGGAAAATATTACTGACTATCATAATGTTTATCAATCTTTTAGATATGTGTTTCATTGTGTTTTGAATGAAAAACTAAAATGACCCTGTTATAGAGTTATTACACTGTATGACATTGTGATTGCATGTATGGTATTTAAAGCTTATCTGCCGTAGTTTACAGGAGGGATTAAACCGCTCTACAAGGTCATTGGACAGGTGGCTATCTCATCAACTCAGCTCTCACTTAACATAAGAAAAAGAGGATCATGGGGGACCA